GTATAATTTTTAATTACATTTTTATAATTTTAAATTTCAATTTTATTTCATTTTATTGCATAAATAATCATTTTATTTTTTAAATGAATAAATATATTAACTCCATGTACATTACAAGTACATACTTTGCTTCTTGTGCCAAAATTTTACATAGTTCTTCATAGATGAAGAGACATCACTCTTTTTCCACAGTAAATTTTGTATATTTAGTGTTTGCTTAAATAAACTGTAAGCATTTATTTGAGTAGAAAAAAGAAAAATACATATTTGTTTCGCATTAAACATAAAGTGTGGCACATGCGGACATCGCATTTATTTTTTGACTCAGACATTGTATAATGCCCACAATAGTTTTTCTATGCTTTCTTAAAGTTGCAGATGTTATCAAGAAGTATATTGATGTTATGTCACTATTTGTATCACAGATGTAAAGTTTACCTAGACTAGAAAAATTGTTGATGATTTCACTAAACTTTTTTCATTACTTTGTTTGTATAAATTAAAAGTTTGATAATGAAGTACTTATATTTAGTGATGTACTTTAATAACATTGTGTATCAATGTTTCAGTTTTAGAAAATGTAGTATATGAAAAAATAGTGATAAAATTCTATACAATTTCATATTAATTTAATAATGTTAATTCATCGCATGACCTTGTCATAAGATGGTGGTGGAGCTTCATCTGATGAATTATGTGGTGGAATCAAAATAGCAATATGATAAGGTGGTGGTGGATTGTGGCTTACTACAGAAATAGGTCTAATATTTTCATTTGGCATTGTATTTGCAGCAGTTATAGACGCGATGTGCTCCTCTTGAATTTGATGCTCTTGATGATTGTTGCGCTGATTTCGGCAACACAAAATAGGATATAAACATGCATTTAATAGTAGTATCAATAGACCCCAAAATACGAATATTTCTTTGTCTAGAAACTGTTGAAAAAATTTTTTAATATTAGTTAACAAAAGAATAAGAATGAAGGGTGCATTGAGGAAAAATACTTTAGTTTCAGCTTACTCCATCACCAAAGTAAAATTTTATAGCAGCAGTAACAAAAGCTGTTGTAACCATAAATATGGAAAGAACAGCCCGTACTCTACAACTTGTTCGTTCTGCATCATTAATTTCCGGAAAATCCAAAAGACTCCTATTTGTTCTATTTGACGTACTATTTGACAATATCAGTTGATTATTCCCTGCAGTTGTTACATTACTGTAAACATACAAAGCTTTGATATTTTGGTTGCTATTTTTACCACAAGTTTTTAAACATTATATCCTTGCTTATAAAAATTTATCATTGAGGGCGAATCATTTATAAGTACTTTTCGTTGATGGACATGTATAAGTGAGTCACCCTGTATATAAGAAGAACATGTTCCTCAGAATCTTCTTAGTAGACCTTTTTCTTTAATTACTTGGAGATGTTGTTTAGCTGGGGGTGTTGAGTAGAGCCAACTGGAAAACTATTTTGAGTTTCATTGTTAGTTCTTATCGTTGTTTGTATCACTCTGCAATTATTCACATTACTAGGACCAGCTGCATTTTCCATAGCATTCAGAGTTTGGAATCGAAGTGGTGTAACCATTTGCCTTAAATCTGCATTGTATTGACATCGATCTGTAAAAACAATAAATATAAGCATAAATACTTTCATTCAAAATTTCATTAGTTAACTGAGTAAAATGTTTTTTTTTTGTAGATCATTAAATATACGAAAGTTATACACCAAATTTTCAATATAGTATAGTAAATAAATATAGGCCTAGGAGAAAGGGAGAAACTTGAGAATATTTCGAATAATCTTACTCAAACGTGTCTTTGGTAAAGGTGTGGCGGGGTATCGGCGGTCAGTGAAACCGTAATACCTGCCCGCCGGTTTATTAATCCAGAAATGCATGCTCTATTCGAACTGATCTAGAGATCCATTGCTATTTACTGAATTCTTTGGGAATCAACAACTATGAAAAACTTGACGTTTTCTTTGTCACTTTCATAAATGCTTTCATAACAAGCTTATGAATGGTTCTGGTTCAAGTTCCATTGCCCGTATATTTTAAATCGATGCAGCGCATCAACGCATTTCTGGTACTCATCGTTTATAAAAGAAATACTCGAAACATTATAAAAAATACATTTCTATTTTATCTGCTTAAAAATTTCAAACAGATTTAATAGACATTGTGGACAGATTCAACATACACGCAAGCTACAATCTGCATTCAAATAACGCACGTCAATACATGAACTAACTGCAGCTTGAATTTCCACCATTGTCAATTTAAAATCAGGTATACCAACACCAACTTGTATATATGAAGCTTGTATATGTTTATTTACGTATGGTTGAAGAAATGGTCTTCAAAATTAATTTTCAGGATAAAATATGCAAAAAGAAATTATATCTTTGTCTTGTATGTTTTTTAAATCGTTTCCCCTTTTTCACAGTGTTTTATTCTCTACAGTTTTACATATTATTTTATAACAATACATGAAGTTGGCTTCACTAAAAATCTAACAACTTCATTTCATTTTTTTTTACAATTAAGTATACTTATTACGTACATACAGTCTGCTTGAATGCATTATAGCTTTTGAAAAAAGTATACATTTTTGCGATTGTAAATTGTATAGTAAATTATATGGTAAAGAATTTTGTGAAGTATTTAAATATTAAGTGTATATAATTTTAAATAAGACCAGCAATTTAAGTAAACCATATAGTCTTTTTACAAGTTAAATCATGTTTGTGATTAAACTGTGTTGTGGTTACTGAGATATATTTAAGATATTTCATATGTAAATATAAGCTTTTGATATAAAATAAACTCTATTAAAAGAGAATTATATTTTGGTACATTCGGAAATAATATTAAACAATTTAATTTTCACAGGTTATCTAACCTGTTATTCTTCTTACATCAATACTGTGTCTATGATTTTGAATCACAACATTTAAAGAGATGTTTATAATTAGAAGATGTGTGGTTCAAACTGAGCCATACTTTTTGAAACGATCATTCTTCCGTTACTGCTCTTCTGTTACTTGTAGTAATAGTATTCAAGAGGAAGAGCTTATAAAGTTTGATAATAAACAAAAATTACAAGGAAATAAAAAATTGTTAAAAGTTGCTATGCTAGGCTTACCAAATGCTGGCAAGAGTACATTAGTAAATAAACTTATACATAGATCAGTATGTATCTTTAGCTTTCTTTTAATAGTTTATTTATTTAACAAATTTAATTTAAAACAAAAAATTGATGAACAGGTATGCCCTACATCTTCAAAAGTTCATACTACAATGCACAAAGCAGAAGCAGTGTATACAGAAGGTAATACACAAATTGTATTTATGGATACTCCTGGATTAATAACAACTAAAGAATTTGACCGCTACAAATTAATAGAAACATTTAAACAAGATCCAGCAAATTCAGTTAATGAGGCAGATCTTATTGCAATAGTACAAGATGTAACAAATGTATATACTAGGCATAAATTTGATGACTTTGTTCTTGATACTGTAAAAAATAGAAAAGAAGATACACAACTATTACTGATTTTAAATAAAGTTGACAAATTGAAGAAAAAACTAGCACTGTTAAATGTTACAAGAATATTAACAAATAAGGAACATTATCCAAAGTTTGATGATATTTTCATGGTATCTGCACTTGATGGGGATGGTGTGGATGATTTAAGGGTAATGTGCAATTTATGTTATAATATTAATAATTGTTAATGATTATGCATATATTTATATTTAAATATATATTGCAGAATTATTTGCTTGATTCAGCTAAAATAAAAGATTGGAAATATGAAACAAAGTTTTATACTGATCAACCCTTGGAAACTATAATAGAACAAACAGTTAGAGCTAAATTGATGGACGTGCTTCCAGATGAAATGCCATATAAGGTAAAGATAAGAACAGAGCATTGTGATTTTGGTGATGATGGAAGCATTGTTTCTGTTGTGGTGTTAGATTGTCCTAGGAAAAACTATGTAAAAATGTTACTAAAAAAAAAATGCTTTAAAATTAAGTTTTTAGCATTCAGGGTAGAAGTGGAATTGCGTCATGCATTTAGAAAACCTGTATTTATAAAACTTAATGCTATTTGTACAAAGAGTGAACTTAATAAATAGAACAATAATATCACAAATGATGTGCTAAACATTTATTATAATTCATTTCATGAAATTTGTAAGTTATTTTTCAAAAATACATTTAAAAATATTATTAAATAAGTGCCATATTATATCATTTGTAATTATTATTGATAATATTGCTAAAATATGGGAAAGTGAGATCACTTCCTTTAAGATTTTCTTCTATCCATTCATTGGCTTTAGCATCAAGTTCTGGAGTAAACATATTCTTCCATTCGCCACTTTGACCTTTTCTAACAAATGTTCCTGCTACTATGATACCACATTCCTTTAATTCAGATGAGTTCACCATTGGATTATCTCGGAAATTTTTAATGTTTAAATAATTTGCTACTTCTTTCATCTGTTGTTCAGTATATGTTTTTCCAAGAAATTTGGCAACCTTTTTAATTACTTTTGGAAAATCCTAAAAACATAACATATAAATAAGGACAGTCTTAAGAGAAAGATTAACTTATTTTAAATATTTATTTGTCTCACATGTTGCATTTCTTCATAGAATATAAATAAAAGGTTTGGGTGATTTTTATGTGTCCATGCTTCTTTCAAATGTTCCCAATAAGGACTCCATGGTGCTAAAGAAGTTTAGAATAACTTATATTTTATGAAATTCTTTTATTTCATTATTTATACTTAACAGTTTTGTAGCTTAACTATAATACTTACTAAGATTGTTTTGAAAGTACTCCCAAAATGTTGCAAAATCACCTATATATCCTTGAGTTTTAATTGCTTTATTTAAATAATACCATGAAATAGCAACATCTTTTGGATTTCGTGCAATATACACTATCTTCCAGGAAACATTATGATTTTGTACAAAATTTTGTATAAAAAATTCTATTCCAACAATCTTATTTTGTAATTACAACTTTACCTTACAGCCACTTTCCAAAATACCAGGTAGCAAGCTGAGTGGAAAATGTGATTTTATAAATCTCTTAGAAGGTATTTCTGTTATGACTTCATATCCTGGCTCTGCAATTTTTTTACATAATTCCTTCTTGTCCTTGTCACCCTCATTCATCTTTAAAAATTCATGTGTTACTTCTGGATGATTAAACATACTAAATCTAGAAGTAGAATTTATACCCATGTTAATAAGTTCTTTATGCAAACCTATAGTTTGCATTGTTTGTTGCATATCGAACTATTTATGTTACTTTAAACTTTAATTATATGAATGAAGGACCGCTTTTGGGAACAAGTTTATATTTTTTTTATTGAAGATTTTTAGTAAAAAAATAAAATAAATGTAATTACATATCGTTCGCATCCAATCGTAATGTTCATATGCACGCAATCAATATGCATCATAGAATATTATGCATTAACAGTGAATATACCATCTAATTTATTATAGATGACATACTTTTAATATCGAGACATTACATAAGTGTTACCTCTGTCATTTTGTAAACCACTGCTTTAGAGAAACTCGTGACAAGTTTTAAGGCCACCATGCCGCCGTTAAAATTTAATTCTAATGTAGCTTAAAACTTGAGATTTTTAATTAACTTAATTTAATTTAAATATAAGTTCAGTCATACTAACTCAAGGAACGGGAACCGTTCTGCCAGAAGTTCTTTTTGTGCCTTCTCAAAATCTAAGTCATTTGACAATAACCAGATTAATTCTTGTGTCCATGTTGTACCTCAAAAAAAGAAAAAAAAGAAATTTTTTAAATCATTCTAAAATCAATAATCATCATTACTTTATTTTAATTTTTATATTTTTATGTAATGCGTCGATGCTATGCATTCGAGGGCTTACATTACATATTTTCGATATCCGGTATCTTCTGAATAAGTGATTATATTAAGTAATAATATTCCTTGTATTATAATGAAAAACTATTAATTAAATATTAATCGTGTCATTTTGTTACTGTTAGTGAGAAAAAGTTTGAAGATTTCTTACTTACCAGATCTTGGATAAGATAGAACCCAAGTATCATCCGGTCTTGCCTTAAAGTTATAAAATCCTTTACCCTGTTCTGTATATCTATAGGGGAAGAACCATTTTTTTGGACCTACGAGTACCCAACCTGTTCTTTCACCCTTAAATACTTCTAACATTTTTTTAGTATCTTCTTTGTTCAAATATTCATATTTTGGCGGTTCAAGTGTCATCTTCCCGCGTTTTCTTCTATGTGAAGTTACTAACAATGGAACATAAGAACTCACTAATAGTTGTTTAGCATGTAATATAGTTTAATGAACTAAAATCATTTGCGATTTATGATTAATAAATATTCTTTTGTTATCATTCTACTTTTGATACTGGTAATAAACATGTTATTACTCATTTAGTCTTTATTACTTTAATATCGGTAGTATTAAGACTTCTGATGATTACAGCGCGGGAAACGATACTGTTACATTTTGTATCTACTTGTTAAATATGTCAAACTGTCAATCAGTGGCTCGACTATGACCCATCGATGTATTGATTTACAAGAATCATGAATTAATAAATGACAGCACAAATGTATCTATACACTTTAAAAGATTGTTTAACTTATAATGAACAAAGATTTTTATGATCTATCTCAGAAGAAAAAAACCATATAACTTTAATTCGTGAGTTATTAATTTATTTTAATTCTTTATTCTTGATATGGTAAAGTCACATCTAATTTAAAACATACAACACGAACTAGCATTGTTTAGGTAAACGATATATTTATTATTAATCAATAATTAAACATAAGTACTTACTTAAAAAAATATTACTGGTGATACAAGTATTTTTTAACAAATTAAGAAGTTAGAAAATCACACGTATTGGCAAGGAACGATATGCACGCGATATAGCAGAACGTACGATTGACGGATGAAATGTGTTTGAATGAAACTCAAAGATGAACGGAAGAATTTAACGGGAATTCAGGTTAACGGACTTTCACTCAACTAAGTCGAGTCGTTTCTTTCGCGTTTATTAGTTCGTTCCTTGATAATGAATTTGATGTTTAGAATAAAATTATAATTATTCGAATTAAGGAAAATTTGTCAGAACATTGAAACTTATTAGAAAGAATTTTCACAAATTAAATATTTGGGTTGTGGATGTTGAAATGGTATCTCGGAAAGAAAAATTTTATTTCTTTTTCTGAATATTTTATTTGGTTCGAATGGCAAGCATCTCATTTCACTTTTTGATTTAAAAAATCAATCAGTATAAAAAATTATTCGTTATTACAGCAATAAAAATCGATAATGTATGATTTCAGACTGAAGATCGTTCCCTCGTGAACGGGTAAAAAAAATTAATTCACGTCGAACTTTTTGAGGCCTAATTACTTCAGATAGGAACTTCTCGTTACGAATTTACCTACATATCGATTATCAGTCTTATCTCCTTACTTATGAGTGAAATAAGCGTAAGAGTATTTCATTTCACCTTAATGAAACATTACTCTGTTAGGTAAAAAATAACAGGTAATAAGTTTTTCTTTGGTCGTGAAATCAAAGTTTTCATCAAGGACGAGTTATTTAACTCTTTAAGCGAAAATCGAAATGCACAAATAGCAGAAATAACGACAAATTAAATATTGTATTGGATATAAGTAGTAGCAATTAAATTACCGTTCGTGCAAATCGATTTTCATATTGACAGTCTATATAGTCTATAGTTAAACTTGAAAAAATATGATACTTTGACGTTATAAAAATATTAATCTAACATTAGGTCTTAAGTTCTAATCAAAATCTTGGGGTAGCAAAATATAGGAATGGTCCTTTAAATGCATCAAGTGTAAAAATAAAGATGGTAGATCTATTACAACGTTTTTTGTACTCATTGAGCTCTAAGTACTTTTAAATAATAAACTTTGCTGTGGAATAATTTCATTGGTCATGTAACGTTTAAATTTGTTTAGTTTCATAATTTTCCTAATCATTGGTTTGTACTTTTGTATAACGTCACTACGAAGGTTGAAATTACTCATAGTTGATTCGTATAAAATCTAAAAAAATTGTTAATAACTTTCTGGTCCTAAAATGTTTTCCAGAACTGTTCGATTTTCGTTTTCTGAAATGAATTTTTCATTGACTTTCGCAATATTAATTACATTAATCTCAGAAGATGTCTCGACTTCTTCTGTATCTTCATACAGATTGTTATGATCCCATGTTTTATCTGTGGGTTTAATACAAGAAATATTAAGTCCCAATTTGCAAAGATTCACTGCAGCCTCCACCTCCTGATCATTCGTATTCTTTATTGACGTTGTTTCATTCAAACTTTCATTACCAGACACTGAATTTGACGTATCTCCGGTTTTTAGACTTTCAGTTAATTCTGTTATGTTACTGAACGATATAGTCATTTCTCTTTTAGTTAAAAGCTTTTTCAAATCTGGGTTTTCTAAAAATAATTTGCATCGTTTAGTGTGAATCTTCATGTTGTCGTGCCGGTTGAATGGCTTATCACATCCAGGACAATGAAATCTAGAAATTAAGATACGTTACAATTACTCAACATGTTAAAAATGTTAATAAAATACATGTAAATATTTAGAAACTTGCCTAATTTTACTATGCACCGCCATGTGAGCAGCTAAATGAGACTGTTGACCAAATGATTTTTCACAGACACTGCACTTGTATTTTCTGATACCTTCATGCTTCAGAAGATGCTCTTTTAATATTTGACTGCTTTTATACATATTTGGACATAGGGTACATTTATATTTTGCAGCAGCATGAACCTGTATGTAAAAATTTTGTTTTCTCGTGAAACAATGGAAACAATCAATTAATTTTAGACAAATTATAGTAATATGTCTTACATTCTGGTGATTATACAGAGATTTCCTCGACTTGACTTGTTTGCCACATATGTTGCAAACGTAATCTTGCATGTGAATATTTCTGTGATGCGTTTCTAACGCTTCTGCATTAGATAGGTAAGCAGAGCATAATTTACACATTACAACTTTATCCTTATTATGTATGACCATGTGGGCACGCAGTCTACCCCTTGAATAGAACTCTTTTCCGCAAATTTTACAATTAATATCCTGTGCAATTTTTAAGAAGGATAAATAAGATATGATAATAATGCGCTATTTAAATCATTGCAGAATTTTAATAATAGTAACCTTCATTGGTTTGTGAGTGGTATTGTGATAACTCAGTAGTTGCCTACTAGAGCTTGCAAAATCACAAAGTTTACACTTATATGGACGGGCGCCTGTATGAGTATTAATATGTTCCTCTAATAGAACAGCAGTCACGTATCGTTTTTCACAAAGATGGCACGTGAATGGTTTAATCTTTAAGTGACTTTTTCTAATATGACAACGAACATTGGTAACAGTCACTGTGGAGAAGTCACATGCTTTGCACTGATAAGGTTTCATTTGTAAGTGTCCCCAAATATGTACCTGTACATTCAATATAACAATTATTATATATTTCATATAAAATAGTTCCTTGCACTGTCAATGTATGATCAGATAAATTTCTTAAATTTACCTGACACTTATCCATCCTGAGATAAAGAGTACCACAAATGTTGCAGCGTATATTCTTCTTATCTACTATCGTTATGTTTTTTTGTACTTCCTCTGAATTAACGATCGACATGTCCACCGTGTAGTAAGTTTCAATAGTTTGTTTCTGTTCGTCGCTAATCAATTCAGCGATTTTACCAAAGGATCTATCCTTACTCCTATTCCCACCCAAGCTACTGTCTCGACTAAATCGTCGTGACAATGAACTATCACTGATACTGCATTCTAGATTACTTTTAGTACTTTCATCCATTGTATCTATTGAATTACATGATTCCTCAAGATCCTCCTGCACTACTTGTTTACTTGTCATTTCATTAGACTGTGAAGACCTTATAACAGTCATGCGATTTTCTTTTTCAAGCATTTTAGATTTCAGATCATTACAATTAGAGGAAGTTACTATGTCAGAATGCTTAACCATATTGTCTTTTATTGAACCAGTTTCATTGCTCTCAATTTTTCTGCGTTCCTCTACCAATAAAGCGGTTGTTTCTGACAAATCTATCTTCTTTTGATCTATTTGATTCTGCATCAAATTTTCACCTTTCTGGGTCAACATTTTATTGGAAATCCAAACGAGTTGATTCGATTTTCCATTCTGCCTACGGGAATTCCCTTTCTCTCCTTTCTCTTGCTTTACAATAACTGATATTGCCTTGCTCTTTGCAAAATTATCTTCTGCATTCCTCGAAGTATCGTTGTATTTTATCGTATTTTTACCATCAGATCCAGTTTCTGTTGACTTATTTGTTACTGTATCGTCATCGTGTACAGTATCAGTTTCGTTGCCTTTGGCACGAACTTCATTCGTCGACGCGCCCACCACCACCTGTTCCTTCGCTATCACTTGATCCACTTGCGGTTTAGGTGAAATCACAGTATTGTTGGTCACGCTATTAGACTTACTGTTCGTGCAAATCGCACGCAAACACTGTCTCTTGCATTCATTACTAAAATTATCGCTCTTTCTATCATCCAGATCATTCTGCGTCTCTTGTTTCAGGCTCGCTGCGAGACTGGCCTCTCTCATCTTCTCTAATTTGCTTTTCCTACCTCTCTTGCGACGCACGGGGAGCTTTGAATTTGTACAGTCTTTAATTACATTTTTTTGCGATGAATTCAAGTTATTCATTGATCTCCTAGCGCGAATGACAGTCTTTTGTGAAATATCCACTTTTTTCGCCATTAAAATTTTTCTATATTTCAAGTTACCAGCATTATTCTGATCGTTTCTCGATACTTTCTCGTGCGAAGTTCTATTGTTCACAGATGATTGTTTCTCGGAAATTAAATTGTTCAATTGTACCTTGGTCTGTGTGACGAATTCCACATCATCGATATGGTCATTATTTACTCGATTGACACTTTTACAATACGACGTATTATTTTCGGACAGACAATTTTTTGTACTCTTTGAACTGTCAGGTGATAAAGTGTTCGCTTTTCGTTTCGTTTCGTTTGCTGAGGGAACGGTGTTTTCCTTATCCGATTCCATGTCGTTTTCCTGCTGCAATCTTTCTTCCGCTCCATTTTGACTCTGTCGAATAAAAGAAAAATATGTTCTATAATTTCTTAAGATATTATTTTTTAAATTATTGTGATTTCATAATTTCAGAAAAAATACTTTATTTATATTAGATCTTCGCTAAAACATAAGGATGACCTTGAAATTACCTCCAGTTAAGTAAAATAAAAATTGAACTTTCCCTTTTGTTATTAATTTTGAAATACCCCAGCGTATTATAAACATACAAAAATAGTTTACTTTTTACATGTGCTCTAGAATGCAATTATTTGTACGATGCCCCGTTCTAAGTAGATATAGCCGCGCGCGCGTTTTTAGTCAGACACAATATCAAGTTACTGTAGCTTACAGCTTCCAATAGTTCCTTTTGGGTGAGATGACAACGCTCGTAAAAATCGCACAGAAATTCCAACGTGCCCAAACATCGCATACAAACAATCTGCGACAGTCCATCATTTTCTTTTATCTGAAACAACAAAAAGAAATGTCTTTGTCCAAGGAACGAACTATAGCATTAAAATTCCATTCTCAACTGTAAAGTACGAAGTACTACTTCCAATACAGCATAGTAAAGCCACTAACTACGAACAATCTAGAGCTTGCAGAAAAATTTGTAGAAATTAGAAATTAAAGAACGATACACTAGGAATACTATTATTCAAAAATTCGATAGATTAATCATCTACAGTGTTAGTATAAAACTTACTGAATCATGTGTTTTGTGTACATGCAAGGCAAACAGGAGTCACATGCAAAAAACGAGTAAGTATCGACATGGAGAAAAAAAAAATGAGAGTGAAAATCAAATAATCAGCGGTCCCAAAAATATCGTACCTTTATTGAGAAAAGTTGTGGAATCGTTAAACAAATGTATGCTTTTTTTCTTTTATTGTCGAGAAATCGTTATATACGCTAGTTCATACTGCACATTAATGACGATATTAACGTTTATCCTTATCAAGAGATATACATATATAATTATATACTCTATATCCGACAAATACATTATCTCCTAAATGGAAAAATAGATTGGTTTAACAAACGCCTCGTACAAAATAAGAGTTATTGCTTAATCACTTACACTATCTGAGGAAAGAGTTTATTTAAATGTTAGACGTCATATCCTTCGCACGATTTATTAACAATTCTCGCGTGAACGGTTTTCTTTGAGAAAATGTAATAATCGCGGTCCATACATAATTCTTTGTGCTCCTATTTGAAATATGGTGGACAAGCAAAACACTTCAGTTTGTAAAAAACAGGAAAACATTTTACATTATTGTGGAATCGGGGCCTCCATACCGAACCATACAGGAGCAAAACGAGGAAAAATAGAGAGGGCGTTATTGGCGTAGTGCGCAAACTCTCGGCTTGCCAGCCGAAGGTCGGGAATTCTTGATTCCCGTTGGGTCCCTCAAATTTTTCCTCGGCTCCTACATTACATTATATGTATACTAATATATACTGAATATCTTGAGTAAAAGTGTTGTATAAAATACAGTCACTAAAAAAACAAATTCATTGTTAACTAGATTTCATCGTAGATATATATATAAACTTTTTTAAGTTCTAAGCAATAACGGTTAAATACATTTCCGTCGTACTCATTCATGTTTCTCACTACTTACTCTCAAAATACTCAGTACAATCTCTAAATTATATTAGGGCAGTTTGAGCACAAAGAATTAATTTCCCTCTTAAGGAAGATCAATGTTGCACGTACTCAATGACAACTATTCGAAGAATCATTAACGCCTTTTTCGTCCATCAACGCTATCGCATAATGTATGAATAAAATATATCGAGTCGATCAAGGCACTTAACGAACTAGTTTTCACTTTTTTTTTCGCATGATCACATAGTAAGTTCTGTTACAGGATTTATCGTACACGTTATCTTCGTAGCGAAAACTTTGTTATTTTTAATAAATCAAAATCCAACGAAAACAACAACTTCACTCGTATCTGAAAACTTTTTTTCATTAATCAAAGATAACGATATCTTTGGTAAAATGTTAAAGTTTTATACGAATCGTTATTTTCGCTGAATCTCCACGTATACACATATACAATTTTATATGTAAAATAGAATCGAAAATAGAGTAAAATACACCTTGCACATGTATCGTTGAAAAGTTTCACGGTTTCCCTAAAAACAGACATGTAAAAATACGTAGAAAATATTTTTATACCCTTTTTAGTCGGGGTTCTTGACCTTGGAAGCCCTATCCGTACCGTGTTCGCGTCTTTTCATGAATTCAACTTTCTTAGGAAGCTAACTGTGCGATAAGCATATAAATTTTTCGTAAAAATTCATCCAATGATATTCTTTAGCTTCCTTGTAGTCATAGATTTTAATCATGATTTTTGCAATATTTTTTGTTTCTTTCACAAAATCTTACCCCAATGTTCTGTCATGTTTCGTGGCTTGTCTTTATTACAGCTTTGGTAAATTCTAATCGGTAGTATTTCACGTGCAAAAATATCGTCTAATGTAGTATATCTAAATGGAAAGAATACTTAGAAGATCTCAGTAGTCTCTTAAATGCACACCTACTACGTTATGTACAAAAAAAAAACCAGTTTGACGTACCAAGAAAAAAAAAATACGAGCGATAGGAGAGGAAGTAAATTGACTGATCGCTGTTGCTATCATTCATCTGATAATATACATTGCTTTGCAGAATTAAGAGTAGAATTTATCAACAGTCCACAATTACCGTTACTGAGTTCCTTATTATCAAAGAGAAATTTTACTCTTAATTCTTACAACGATATCTTATGCAATCCCTTAAAAGAAGAAACGCGTTGATTCACGTGAACAATAACGTCCTATCAGATGCATCATGTTCACTTACATAACCTAAAAGTTAAAAAGCGTTTTTTTCGGAAAGTCCTAGCTCGCCCATGAGTTAAGTTAATCTTAGAAAAAAGAAAATATCAGAGCTACGTCAGTACCGTTATTTTTCGTTGGACGCAGTGGAAGCCACAACGCCGCTAAAAGCGTTCTTTTGTTTACTATTACCAGTCTTTTTTTCTTCGAAATGTCTTTTTCTATGTACCTTCATGTTATCGCGCCTATTGAACTTTCGTCCACACTCCGGACAGGCATGCTTCTTTTCACCGTGCACGTGCCGATGTGCAGCCAGATGACTAGCTTGAGCGAACCTCGCACCACACTTCTGGCAGATGTGTTTCCTCAGCCCTTCGTGTTTCAATAGATGTTCGTTCAGGAATGCTTTAGATGCGTATCTATTGTTGCATACGTTGCACACAAAGGGCTTAGGATTCGTGTGTTGTAGCACGTGAGCCTTATACTTGGACGCAACTTTGAATGTTTTACTGCAAACCTCACAAGTATACGTGGTCGCGTGACGCGTCTTAATGTGTTCGTTCAGAACGGCAAGACTCGAATAGAGATTGTAGCAAAAGCGACACCTAAAGTTTCGACGACTTTTTAAATGTACGCTAGCTATATGACTCAACAATCTCGTACGATACGGAAACACTTTGCCGCAATATTCGCAGGCCAAGTTCTGTGGAGGTAAATGAGATTTCATATGAATCTGTAACGACACTTTATGATGGTAACTCTGACCGCAGTCCGTACAAGAATAAGGTCTTACACCTTTATGCACGTTGTCGTGTTCCATTAAGTAGAACTTCGACTTGAACCTTTTTGGGCATTTCGGGCATTGTATTGGCCTAGGATTAGTATGCGAACATCGAATGTGCTTCATCACGTCAGATTTGCATACAAATTTAGCGTTGCATAGAATACAGGTGTACTGTTTAATCCCAAGATGTGTCTTTACGTGAACCATACACTTGTCCTTACGTTCGTAGAACTTGCAACACAATTTACAAGAGTAGCGGTTTTGATTATCCGTGACAACATGTTCAACGTTGTCGTCCACGCGGATTTCTTCTCCGTCGATCCTAAAAAGTTGCTCCGGATCCTGAGAGGCTTGCCATTTTTGCTCGAACTCCGCGGCATCCTTCAATTTCGTGGAATTACCGTTCTTAAGGCTACTATTGATAATAGTATTTATTATACTATTGACTTCGACACAACTTTGATTTTGTAGAAGACCAACGATAGCCTTATCTACCAAGCAGGAACCCTGATCTGGAAATACTCGTGCTCGAACGGTAGCAACGTCGTCGCTTTCTTTTTTACATAATTCTACGGTGAAACTGATGTCTTCAATGTCGCTGCTTTGATTTCGAGATTCCTTTACGGAAACTTCTATATTTGGAGAGTTCGATACAATGGTAAGAAGTTTATTTAAAGCTGATGTTGGAATCTGAATAGTATGTGGATCTTGTTTTTCACCATTTTCACTGGGACTATTATGGGAAATAACACTTGTCTCTGTGGCAGTATTGTCATGACTTCTAAGTCTATTTGCAATTGGTATATTAGTCCCTGTTTCATTTGTAGCAGCAGTTTCTGTACTTTGCCTACTTCTAAGCCATCTTGTAGGAGTTGTTTCTGAACTTTGAATAGTTTGTACAGTTTCTATAATGTCTTCACTTGGGCTCTGGTTACTATTCTGATCTTTTGCAGCTTCTTCATTGCCTTTTATTTGTTGACTCCTTAAATTCCTCTGAGTCTTTGAACCTGTTCTTAATACACGTTGTTCTACTTCTTTCACAGTCCCATCAGTTGGAGAATTAAGATTTTTCTTGATATCATTGTTGTTATTGTTTGTTGATGTACTTGGTGTTGTATCTTCAGTCTTTACTTCAGCCTAGGGATAGATTGAAATAAAAGTAGAAGTGGGTACCAGAAATTTATTAGTTTTATTGAAGTAAATGAGTTTAGTCTGGTATTTGTGGTACATGTTTTTCAATATAAATGCAAATATATTTAGAATATTATTTAAGTTTCATAGGAATTGAAATTTTCTGATTATAGCTTTCCTTAAATTTTTATGAACCAAAATACCAGATAATATCTTCTTGTATAATTTGAATTACAAATATTACAAGAAAAAGTGAGCTGCATGCTCTGGTAGCATCATAGATGAGCGGTAGAGCTGTGCATTAAATTTAAATACAGACTTACAATATCTGTTAAGGATGGTAGATTGTATCGATCGTGTAACACTTGTTGGGTGCGAAGACACTCCTCTTGGAAGTCGCAAACGAATTCGAGCTTGCCCAGACATTGAACACAGATCGCCTTGGGCAGAGGATCCCTCTCATCTATCTGCGATTCAAACAAAATACCTAAATACTAAATGTATGTGATTTTAAAGCCTTAATTGAAAGTCTGATTCTGTACATCTTCTTAGCTAATCTGAGAAACCTTCTAGTTTCTTATGAAAAGACAACTATGAACATAAATGAACAATTTAATAAACCCTACCGCTCTGTAGATACACCTTTGCTAAAATTCTTATAATCTAGTACCCACTCTAATTTTATACAATATTAACTTGAATATTTATTGTCATAATTGTACAACTATAATATTTATAATCATTTACAAATATGTAAGATTAAATACATCATTTCTTTGTAACAATAGAATACAGAATTAATAATTATTTTGTTATATTTAAATAAATATCAGAAAGATATAATTTATAAAAAGTTTAAAAATAGAGTAAACCTATGAAGTAATAGATATAAATGTTTGATAAAAAAATGTCCAAATACAAAATACCCATTATCTGTCTAATAAAGTCATTCTTGTACAATATATAATCACACAATATAGCATACAATTTGTAAACTACAGTTATACATGCTATTAAAGGATATAATATATAACATAAATATAAACAAATTAACTACCCTCTAGGTTCAGTTTACAGTCAATCACAAAAGTCTTCATACACCCATTGAATTATATGTATCCAACTGATTTTCTGTAATTCTAAGTGTATGTATACTTTTGTAAGCTAAATATTTACGTTTTTTTAATTTCTTCCGGAAATACGTAAATATACCAAGCAAACTCAAGGTGATTATGTGTTGATATGAAAGTATAAACGATTCTGTGACAACGTGCGTCTTTTATTTCTTTTGGCAAGTTAGATATTAACAATTCAATGGGTGTATGAAGACTTTTGTAACCGACTGTATGTTACATTTTCCTTCTTGAAGGAATTTTATGACAGACGTTGTAAGTGATAGTGTTATAACAACGAAATACATTTTTTTCTCGTAATAAACGTAACGTACAGAAACATATTAAATACTAACAATGAAACTACGAATATATATATATTTATTTAAAAAATACAAAATAATAAAAGTAACAAAGAAAGGAAGGAATATCTTTTTTTCTCATGCTCTTCTCCCCTCCGGCCATTTTTCTAACCCCCTCCTCCACAATACAACTGGGGCCCGGACCCCATGGCACACCTCTTACATTGTACTCACCAGAATGTTGATTCGCGCGTGGATCTTCAAACCTAAAAATCGTTTAGTGCCTTCTTCGCCGAACACATCGATGTATATGCTTTCACACTGGCCGCAAAGTCGACAAATCTGCGCCGCTCCCTCCCCCAACTCCATTTTTGTTTACGTTGAAGGCTGCCTGAATACGCTTTCGACTACTTGATCACACCGAAAATCTAGCATGGAACCGGTGCTGGTGTATTTTCTAGCCGATCCCCGTACACCAGCCACCCGTTTGGACAATACCACGTTCTTCGGACTCGATCCCTTCCCGGCGAAATAAACATAAAGGAATAAACAAAAGACAAAATTCTAACGTTAGCGTTACTACTTGCTCGCTGGTCTGGCACGGGGATGCAGCCGCGTTCGGGCCAGACCAACATACATTCACTTCCCCCGCGCCGATGTACGAATTTCGACCAATCGGCGACTTCCTTTTCGCATTACATGCTCACTGTGTTCACGATTGGTTGTCACCATCGCGCTTCCACTTAAAGCATTGTATATAAACTGTCGCTAGATCGACAAAGTGATTGAAAATTTCGACTTTTTCCACAGGTTTCCAACTTTTTCTATTCTTCCATTTCTAGCATTTCAATGGTAACTAACAAGTTTATTTTTGTACGTTTAAATGCGTACTGTGCGATGTTCCTAAAATTGGTGTATTATGATATTTTATGGTGATAAACACATTTCCGATTTCTATAATGTGAAATTATATGTTCCGCTTTTTACTTCCAGTTGTGTTTAGCATATTCACGTGTGATTTCAGTTGTTAATCTTTTTTCTATTTAATATTACATGTAATGTATGTTTACAATGCTAAAAAGAAATATATTAGGTTATGATATGTATTTATATTCTGAACTATGTTAGATGGTGTGATTAAAAAAAAAATATGATTAATTGTAATACAATATTGTACTGTAAGAAAATATATTATTTTTATTTATTAGTAATGAGAGAAGTAAAATGATACTCGTTATATAAATATAACTGTGTGCATATATTTACAGAGAAATTTCAACCAATTTAAACTTCATTGTTGTTCTTAATGGCATTTTGGGTTAGGTTACAAAAAGGTTCATTATTACTTAGTGACAGCAAGATATGATAATTTTTTTATGTAAAAAAACCT